GTCCTGTGCAGCCTGCTCTGGGTGACCCTGCTTGGGCAGGAGGGTTGGACTGGGTGACCCCCAGAGGTCCCTTCCAACCCCTGCCATTCTGTGATTCTGTGATTCTTCTCTGCCAGGGCTTGCAAAGGAACAGGCGACGCTGCTTTTCCTCTGATAGCTGCTGTAAGATTCACCAAACGCCACTGCTCAATCACTAACTCACAACTCAATATTTGTCAGGAACAGTTTCCTTCCCCTCTCTTTGGCGGTATCGTGGATGTCCTGAAAGCTCGTTGTGCTGAAAGGATTTGCAAACGTTCTTTAGCAATGAACCTCTGAGCTGCAGGGCGTGCAACCCGGGAATGTTGCAATGGCAGCTGGTGTTGCAACTGGATTAGACTGGGATAAGCGCAGATCCCTGGCCGAACACGCTCTCTGGCAGAGCTCCACCAAGCAATGTTGGTCAGCGGTGCAAGCTGAATGGGCAAACCGTGTTTCTACTGCAAATATTTATAGTGGTCAGTGTATGGATTTCATTTTTAGCCTTTCCAAGCAGGGAAAAGTCCAATGCCCGAGCGCTTGGGGAGCGAAGTCCTCCCCGCTTCACAACTGAAGCTGGACCTTTACGAATTTTTCCACGCTGAACAAATATTTGTGGAGATGCCACCACGATCGCATGCCGGGTTGGTCGCACCCCTTGGAAATGAGGCATTCACTGCAAGGGAAACGGCCACGGAAGCCAGGAGCTGGTGGAGTCTCGCAAGTCAGCGTGGTCACAAACACCTCCTCACTCCGTAAAGAAAAATGCATTTTGCTGTGAGGTATCATTAGCCCGCAGGAGGAACTTGGGGAGGTCTTGGAGGGCTTGGGATGTCATTGGATTAACTGAGGTGTAGCTGCTCTTGCTGCTGAGAAAGGCTTATGGTTTGTGGTTGGTCCTTGCCGCCTCCATGCAAGCACAAACTGTCCCAACTTCAGTGGATGAACATGGAGGAGAAAAAAGAGGCTTTGCTCTCTGTCCACACTTTAAATATCTTCGAAAATAATCGCCCTGACTGGCAATAACAGTGACGGGGAAGCACACAGATCATCACTCTGAAATCTCCCCTTCCCCATATGCGTGTATTTAGGTCTGCATGCAACTCGTGCACCGGCAGCGAGACTGCAGGCAAGCAAGAGGGCCAAAAAGTAGACATCACAGGAGAAAACCAGCACCCACTTGATAAATGACAGCGGCTTTTCCTTTAGGATCGTGCAGCAGTTTCTTTTCCTGTTGCTGACATTTTCCTCTCTGTTTTCCATCCAACCCAAGAGACATCTCCTTCCCTCGAGCCCGCGCTCCTGAATCTTGCTATTATCAGCAAAAATGCGATTCTACTTTGTTTGCCCTTGGGAAGCACTTTTTTTCCTCTCAAGTTCAAATAGGAAAATCTTTTTGGAGAAGAAGTAACTTTCTTCAGCGGTAAATAGCCACTGAGATCCTCTCGCAGCTGGAGGTTGAGCGTGTCCGTGGGTTGCTGTACGAGCAGGGCTCGTGCTCCAAATTGCAGCAGCACACAGAGCCCAAGATGACGGCAGGAAGGGCTGAGACTGATAAGCTGATCACCCAAATAAATTAAAAACCGAGGTGGGACACAAAAAGACACAAAATAAGCTCTCGCATGGTGAGCGTGGGAGGAAATACTGCCCAACTGCTTGACCATGGGCAAGGTGCTTTATTTGCATGCGTTCATATCTATGTCAGGTCTCCACTGCATGGCAGGGTTGTGGTGCTGCAGGATGCAGGGTGCAACCTCCTTGGACCCTGAGCTCAGTCCTCTGCTCACCTCTTCCATAGAAGCCCACTTGGTTCGTGCTCTGGTTCTTAGGATGATGAGAGGTGCCTATTTAGTTTCAAGTCTAAATGTAATCAACCAATACTATCTTCTTGTGTCGCAAAGTCCTGCACGTGGGTTGAGGCAGTCACCCGGTATCAATACAGACTGGGGGATGCAGGGATGGAGAGCAGCCCTGAGGAGAAGGACTTGGGGGTGCTGGTGGGTGACAAGCTGCACATCAGCCACCAATGTGCACTCACAGCCCTGAAAGCCAACGGTACCCTGGGCTGCATCCCCAGCAGCGTGGGCACAGGG